TGAAAGTGCTGAACAACATGATGAATGGCGAGTAACTCTGGCAGAAAAAGCTGCAACTTTTTCTGAAGTTAATTTGAAATAATGCCACTGGACAAGAAACAGTAATTTGTAACACTCAGTAGGATGACTGCAAACAGCACTATCAGATTTGTTAAGCATGAATAAGCAATTAAATTATTCCATGAATGATGCACAAAGTTGATTTCATTTTAGAGGTTGAATTTTAACCAATTTACAGAAGAATACTTTCTTCTACAGGCGTTTGTTTTTGTTTTCTTGCTACCCTTTAAGAACTCTTATCTTAGAGTTTGAGTAATAGCAAACTTAAATAGAAATCTTTGATAAAAATATGAAAGAGCTGAATTTCGTCAAAGTTCATTAATTGTTTGAGGTTTCAAAAATTAATCATTCCCTAACTGCATGAAGATTGGATATGGGGTACACAGGCGAATAATGGTGCGAAATGGAAAAATAAGGTTCAATTAAGAGTCCCTAATTTACTCTCAGGGATTAAAAAAAAAAAAAAAAAAAAGTGTGAAAATAGTAAACATAACCTATGTCTTGTGAAAAGGAACCCCAATTGTTTAGAGAAGGTACGTTTCCTGCGGAGTCTAATTAAAAAGAAATCCAAAAGTAAGTTCTCTACAGAATGACGGCAGATATATTGATGCAAGGTGTCTTTGAAGTGACAACATTAAATGTTCCAGGGTTCGTACACATTTCCTTACATGAAAATTAAGGACTTTTAAGGACCATCAAAGAAAAAATTAAGGACCTATCAGCAAACAAAAAAATGAATGGAATAAAGCAATTATCCATACAACCGACTTCATGCTTGTAATTTCACTTTAAGAAACTAACAGAAGTGTGTATTATGCACAATTATTAAATTCAATTTAATACTTACCATAAAACAATTTTGAAAATTAAACTAACTCCCTACAAGTTATGAAGTAGATAACATTAAATTAGGAACATAATTTCTTGAAAAACATGTATAAGTGTATTTTACACTAATAACAGTCATTATTTTAGAGATTTACATGATTATTATTTAACTTATTTGATATTTATTTAAACACAGTCAACTACTATTATAATCACAATGTAAGAATATTTTGCAGATTAAAATAACTGATTTGTAAACACACAATTTATTTCCTTGGTTTTTTAAAAGATACTAGAATAATAAACTGTACAATAAAAGATACAAAACATTTGTGCTTTTTTTAAATCTGAAATCTTTTTCAGCTATTTAACATCTAATTTATTTATGTCTATTTCCTTTTCTTTAACTATTCTTCTAAGTTCATTTGCTTTGATAAAACAAATCAATGTTCCTGCTGGGTCTCAGCTTCATCTGCTAAAGCATCTACTTCTTCATCAATATCTTTAATGTCCCTTTGAAGAAATTTTTTCTTCTGCTTCATATAATCAATTTCTTCCTCAATAACATTTCTTTTCCTTTTTGAAGTTTCAGATTTAGTTAAAGATTTTTGTTCTTCTAAATAACGAACTCCACTTCTTGCAGAAGCTGCTGCTGATCTCATTTCTTTATTAATTTCGATATTAAGAACACCTCCAGAAAATTTTATGTAATCAAATACTGTGCGTTGAAAAATGTATGATGAGTCACTTAGGAAAGTTGAGGTAAACAATATTGATTAATTGATTATATTATCTCCTAAGTTTAATTAAAGTAGAATTATTTTAAAAGAATCCATACTGGTAAGTTATATTTTGAAAGATGTATATACATATATATATATATATATACAGTACAAAGTCCGAGATCTGGACATCCAATATCTAAAATGATCTAAAATCCGGACCTCAAAGCCACCACCAACCAATTTTTAGGGCTTTTTTGAAGGAAAGGGGTATGCTTTACGCACGCGTATTAGATTTTTTTCCTCATCATAAAAAAACATGTCGGAAATCCCGATTCTTAATCTCAGTTTGACGCTAAATAAAATATCTCATTTTTGAAGAAATAATTATTTTAGCATAAATTTGTGTGATTAGTAACTTGACTCCATAGCTGCGTATCTCCTTGGCATTAATCACAAACCGAAACATTCGTTTATTTTACACCAAATAATATTTTATATCCTTGATGCCGAAATCGCGAATCATTATTTATTGTATTTTGTTTTCATCACCGCATGTTTATCAACGGATGACAACTTGAGTGATGAATCATGCAGCGACGCCAAATAACAGAGTATTATCCGATTACAGATTTAAGTTTAATGCGCTAAAATGTTGACAAGGGGAGATTTAGCAGAAATTTCTTTCCTTATGCTAAAAATAGATTTTGTTAATGATACTCATAGGACAAACGATTATATTTAGTACTATTTGAATTAAGAATAACTGATTTGTTATTCACATAAAGCTAGAACCAGCGCAAGAGCTCGCATGGCCGCACCAGGCGGCAGAATTTAGGAAACGAAAGTAGTAAACCAGAAGTTTTTCATTGCGATGACAATGCTCCAATCATCAATCAATTAACGGAGGGCGAAATCTTGTAATATGGTTCTAAAAATCCAGAAAATACAGCTACCGATAGTAAAGAAAGTAACAGAGAGGTTACTAAAGAGAAAAAATTTCGATTGACAAGTTATTCGGAATTCTCGAGCACAGCAATTACAGTTTGGCTTCAAGGACTTGAACAGCATGGAACTTAATAACTGAACAAGAAATTATATTTTTCTATAGTAATTAAAGTCTGAAAGTATTAGCAGAGAAAAACAGTTACTTAAACAACTCACATTGAAAGAAATGTTTAATAAACATATAAATATTAAGCTCTTTTCTTTTGTAAATTTTGATAACCTTTAAATCATAAATGCTTCATTATTTCATAAATCACGATTTCATATTTTCAATTTTATAATTTCTACGTGCCATCTTAGTAGATTTAAAATGATCTAATATCCGGAAAAATCTCAAATCTGGGATCACCGAAGTCCCGACCTCGGACTTTGTACTGTGTAAATATATATAATATAATACGGAATGTATATTTTCAGTTAAACTTCTACCCAATAACTTTAGTAATTCATGAAAGTTAATTTTGAGTCTAGTTAATTCAGGAAAATTAGTTTCAATTGTTTTCAGCTTTAAAAATATTAAAAAATTTTTAATTAGTTAGTTATTTTCAACTAATAATTGTATCGCCATTAGCAAAAATTATGCGTTACTATCAACAACATAGGTTTAAACCAAATACTTAATTGTCTATTGAAGCTTCAAAACGTATTTCCGAACTTCACTTTTTCTCGGCTAGAGTTATCGAATTTGCCCTTGGCGACCTAAAATCGAAATGGAGCCAACAGATTTCCCGCGAAATCGATAACAGACCCTAAGCAGAAATAAACTCATAATCCCGATATCCCATACATATTACTATATGTGCAAAAGAGAATAAACTCCGTAGAAGGTGATAAAAATTAATTTATGGCTTAATTGAAACAAAGACAGAAATTAAGCTAAGCAAAACCGTGTAAAAACAAATTGAAATGATAAAACGAAACTTAATTTTCATGGGAATTTTCAGCGCTGACTCTCCCATTCTAGAAATTTCAATTTGTTTCAGACAAAGACCGCATTTAGCTTTAGAAAGCTTTGCCATCCATCAATATCCAGTCTTTGTAGTCAGCTTGATGAAGGCCACAGTTTATTGAAAATGCACTTTCCAGGCATCTCTCGTTCCTATTGGCGTCGGAAGGGTTCTGGCCTTCCAGGTTGGGATTGCTCTAATTTTGGCAAATATTTTCAGAATCCCCCCCCCCCTTTTTTTTCTTCGAGCACCTTCATCATCACTTTTCGCCTCTTAAAGAACTTCCGGCTTCACGCTTTCGTCACAATCTGCCTAAATTTATGGATAACACCTGTTTCGAAAGACATTGGGTGAATAGCCAATCAGACCCCGATACTTTCGTTCGGGTAGGCTAATTGGTTTTTATATATATATATATATCGTTTGCAACGCAAATCCGCCAACAGATTGGTTAAGAGCCGTGTAATTTTAATTCCATATTCATGAGAAATCGTAATTCACACTTAGAATGGCAATCATTAGAAATGATAAGAAATGTCAAATGAGCAAAATTAAGGACCTTTTATACATTTTGGCCAAAATTAAGGACTTTTAAGGACCAAAAATCATTTTTGAAAAAATTAAGGACTTTTAAGGACCGTACGAACCCTGTGTTCTTTTTACAAACTGAGTACAATAGCAGAAGGGTCCAGAAGAATTTTTTTTTTTGTCACAGAAATGATCAGAATTCGAAAAACAACATATTCTGGAAAAAAAAAAAAAAAAAAAAAAAACACTAATTTCTGCAAAAATGTTATATTTCCTGATGACAGTAAATTTGATGCATTTGTTTCAAATAGCCAAGTCAAGAATGCGGCTTAAAAAATATTGAACTTCAGTCAAAGAACTTGGAACTAATAGTCAAAGACGGATCTGAAAGTATGGGAATATATGAGTGAAGGAAAATATGTTTCATATTATTGACAGAATAATAGACCTGAATGCAAACCAACCATCTGAAAGAAAGTTCGAGTCCTAGTATTATTCAGACAAATCTTCAAACTACCTTTTGAAACGATGACGACAGAAGACATATGATACATAATGGCTGCTCATAAAAGTTTAGTAGTGTGCTCCAGTGATGGCACAGTAGCCTTTTCTTACGATATATGAATCTAGCACATCTGCGAAGCATTCTGAATTTCAAGATAAAAATGAACATGTATTTAATACATGCTAGCACAAAAGTTTTGTTAAATGTTTTTAAAGTTTTATTGCCCTAAAGAGTTATTTAGGATTATCAGAATTATAACTATTGATGGTTAGAATAAACAATGCACCAAATTTCACTTTTTTATGGAGGGAAGGGGGAAGATATGTATGATTACAAAATACAAATACCATATATGTATATTGTTTGTAAAGCAAATCAAAAACATATCTATGAAAATCACAGTTCAAAACAATATCCATTTAATTCAGACAAAAGATATGTAACAATATTTTATTTGTCAAACAAGGGTAAAAAACATCCCTATCAATGACACAAGATTACATATAACATAGGTAGTAACAACATAACATATGCTATGGCAGTGCAATCACAAAACAAAGAAATTGTTAAAAAAAAAAATAATAATAATAAAAAAAAAAAAAAAAAAGAACTGTAAAGGGAAAAAATTATTAGGGGAAAATCAATTATAAAGCATAGCTGTCATCACATATTAATATTATAACAAGCTCTTATTTCTTATTCTGATAAGCTTCTACTGAAAACACATGAAATTATAGTGTTACACAAAAGTTTTACACATAGGTACACTGTTTTTACACTGAATAAATCATGCATGCAAGTTTGGTCTCAAAATTTTGCATGGCAAATTTACAAGTTCAAGGCACATAAACGGGTGAAATGCACCACAGATTTAATATAAAAGAAAATGCAAAAGTTATTCTACAAATGAAAAAATAAAACATAATTAGATTTGTTTACTGCGCATAAAATTTTTTCTGACCTATTTCAAGGTGCAAAGATATTTAAATACCAGAAAATTTCATACTTCTTAATTAATAGCAGAAAGAAGGCAATAACACAAAAAATGTACGTATAATAAATTCACAAACAAATACAATTAACAATGATAGATAAACATAACAACAAAATCAGTGTACCTTGATGTATGATTTGTAGATTTTTTTTTAAATTTCCAGATTTATAAGACTTTTCTACAGCACATTAATATTATGGCAAAATAAACACAGAAAGTTTATTATTTACAAAATCCAGAATAATGAAAATATTTTTATTGGTAAATAACAAGGATTTATCTGGCCTCTTGACTATAACATTGTTTCAACAACTAAATAAAATTAAGTACTGCATGATTAATATCTTTAATATATTATTCAACAAATAATAATTTAGGTACCTTCACCAATAACAATATAATTCAACAAAAAATAATACATGTTAAATATCACTAAGTGCAATTAAAGGACTAGTGCTGATTAAAACAAAAAATACATATGAGGTATATATACATTGCACATATGATGCTGATAAAAATTAGTTGATAAAAGAAGTATATAAATATTGTACTAGGAATATTCAATCACAAGAGCTCAAAAAGTATTACAGAGCCCATTATATTAAGGAAGACTAAAGATTAATAGCAGCGTCATGTGGTATTAAGTTAACAAGAATAATTTCAGGTAAAGAACAGTAAAACATAAATGGCACATATAAAAAATCAAAATTCCAATAGACTCGCATACGGCCTATTATATGAACTTGTTTAAAATTTTACTTCTAAAAATGCTTTTCCTCTAAAATAGTTAAAAAAAAAAAAATCTTTACATTATAGCATAAATAAATCACAAAATAAATGAGCCTGAGATGATTCAAAGATATGATAGGCATTAATTGTTTACTTTATTTTTCAACAAAGATTACATTACTAAGAACTAGTGATTTATTTCTCAAGTTATTTTAGCTTTCATTATTCTTACTCTGAATTTAAGAAAAATGGCTTTCATTACCCATAAAAAATATTTACTTTTTAAAAAATAAAACTGATACAACATAGCAAAAGGAATAAAAATAAAGGAGAACAAATGTTCCAGAAAAATAATGTTATAATTCTGTAGCATAACAAAAATATGTATACAGTTTATAGATATGTTTATGTTTAATCTTACAAGCTGAATGAAAGTTACTTATGAAGGTTTGTAAAATTACATTTGTAAATCAGGCACAGAGAAAAAAGTTCTTGACATAATTGCATAAATTTACTGCATTCTGATCAATTCATGTAATAAACACTGCTCTGTTCTTTGGCTATTTAAATGTAATGACAATTGATGACTATAAATTTCTTACATATTTATGTATTAACACTTACTAAAAGATAAACTTTTATAGCATTTGTGCATTTACAATATGCAAAGATCTCATTTCATAGTGATTCCAAATTAACAAAAGATACAACTTACTTCGAGATTACATCAAAGATAAAAAAATAACATGTTTAAAAGAATAAATTTTTGCTTGATTTTTAATTTTGACAATTGGGCATTATTTCATTGAAAAATAATCTTTACATGTGAAGAAATCATCAGTAACAATACTGACATTTAAAAACAACACAAATTAAAATTTTTTACACATTATGAATGATTAGGAAAAAACAGACCAGACCAAAAATTAATTAAATTTTTAGCAGGACTAATAACTGCTACCTTATAACCCATGAGATCAAATCAAAATTCATATAATTCAGCATAATGCATTTAAAAAAAATCAATTTAAACTACCGTAAATATGTAGCCTCTTTCCTTAATTATGATTACAAGATTTATATAAAAGAATCTGTTCATTATTTCTACGAATTTAAGTTATTCAGTAAATTTTGATAATCAGTTAAAGCACATCTTAACAAAATGCTTAATCAATGGCAAAAATAATTCTGAGAAATGTCATTCAGTGGCAAAATTATAATAAATTGTCACATAATTCTCACATGCTGAAAATCATATCACACTTTTCCAACACCTTTCGGAGTTTGATTTTGATTTGTTTCGGGGGATGCTTCAGGCGTATGCAAAACAGTCTCTTTGTACACAAACCACATACTACAGACCCATAATAAGAAGTTAGCAAAACCAAGGATCTGAAATAAAAAATTATAATTATTTACAACAGAAGTTTACAAATTATGATCATAAACATCTGTCAAATATTTTTCAGATTAGAAATTCAAAAATCTAAACTTTGAGCTAAAATTCCAGTCTGAATAGAAGCTAATACATGAAATTACAGTAAAACTTAAATAATCTTTCTGTTTATGGATTGAAAATTGTGTGGATTATAGAGTTTTGCAAATTCTATTACAGTCATGACATTTTGAATATTCAAATTTTATCAATATCTAAATTTAATGCAAAAATTAGAAAGCAGAAACCCATTCCAATTTTTGCATTAAATTTGGATTGTTTGCACATATATAATTAAGGAAAAATAAAAAATTTTTAAACTAAGATTAATAGGATACAAAGAAATTACATTTTTAAACAGAATTATATACAAAATAAATAACATCAGGGGAACTAAAAGGAAAAGGGATTTAGAAAGCTTTTCAAAGAAGGGAAAAAATTCTTTTGTAAAAAAAAGCATTGAAGTACTTTATGAAAAAAAATTGCATATCCAACAGTGAAACTGTTTTCAAAAGAGGAAAAGAATAAACATCTTACCAAATCTCCAATAATATGATTTTCCCTAACTGAATTTATATGCTAATTCTGCTACTATTACATACTGCACATGTATAATCGAATATCAACAGCAAACAAAAGAGTTTAGAATTGAAATTTTAGATTTATTAAAAGAAGTCTTGTTTTCAACTCTTTCCTTTACTATACTTTCCTTTAAAATGCCTTTTTTCCAAAAAATGAAATTTACTGCTACTTTTAAGAATTTATTCCTATTAACCACTAATGTAAATAAGCTTGCTCACTACATGGAACTTAGATATGAGAAGGGAGGAACTTATAGAAAAATGTATTTAAGTTGGAACTAAATGTTAAAAAAGCTGGACATAAGTAACAATTTTATGCATGTTAAGGACAAACACTCAAAACTAATTTTAAAACAGGATGCAGCATATATCCAAAATTATGATAAATTAAAAAAAAATTGCAGATTTACAGTATATATTTGCTGTTAAAAAAAGAATTTTAATGTATGAGCTGCAAGTGCTAATCAACTTTGGCAATAAAATTAATTTGCTTCTTCAATCAAAATGTTACAAATATTGGATATTTTTGTTTAAAAGTTTATTTGGATATACATATGAGTTGTTAAAATTTTGACATTCAATTTTCTGAAAATTAAAATTTTGTTCGTTTACATCCAAAAATATAAGTGCAGATTACAAGCATTCTTGGATTAATACAATTCTACAAAAATTTATGAGTTTTTGTTTTATTTATATTATTTCAAATTTTATTTATATAGTTCAAATTTAATACAGTTTAATTTATAGTGTGCTACAGATTTTGTCTTTGTTAGCTATATCATTCTACATATTCTCCATTACTGTGGAGATAACTCATGAACTTAAGCACACTGAAAGAGTAGATTATTTGAATACAATAAAGCACATAAGAGCTATCTGCCTAAGGGAAAAGATGTCTTTGTGGAGGATTTTCTAAAGGACACTGACTCATATTCATGTTACATACGGCAAAAACCACAAAAACTTATCACGCAACCAAAATAGACAAGTTAGGATGTAATGATCTCGCACAATAATATTTTTAACAAATCAAAATATTTTAATTGCTTCTTAGAAGTGTATTCAAATTTCTAATACATCATTCTAAATCTTTAACAACTGCATATACAGTTTGCTTCACTAAACATTACTAAACATTAAGGCTACAGTTTATGCAGCAGAAAATCTAAAAACTGAAACAGACTGATCATTAATTTTAACACAGCTCACCAAAACACTTAATATACATATTAATATTAAACAGTATTTTGTGAGCCCTTTGCATTCCATTAAATGAAGCTGATTTATATGCAGCTACTTAAATTATTGTGGAGATATATTATTATGATACTAATTAACATTTTTTGCTCATTTACAGCTAATTACATTAAAAATAATAAAATTTTCAAAATTAAGAAATAAATCATAACTGTTCTTGTTAGTACCTAAGTAAAATGCATTCCATCAACAAATAAATCAGAAAGGAACTACATCTGGGTCACTATTTTAACTTTTTTATCACATTTTTATCACATCCCGACAAACTACCTAGTTGAAGCCTATTGTTATTATTTATTTATTGTTTGATTTCAAATTCTATTCCATATTCTATATTTGATATAATTTTAAATAGATTTTATAGTTATTTAAAAATTTTCTTACTTATACCTACTTTTGCTAACTTCAAAAAATTTTGCTGCATATCTGTAATATACAGATTTTATAATAATCACACACTAGCACAACCACCAGTTGCGAAATTTTCAGAATGCGACAAACTTTGGAAACCATGCACATTACAGTCAGGCAACTGTGCCCATAACAAGTTATCAGCACCACTATTTTCTTGCTCATTTTAAGTTTTAGAGATTTTTACATACAAATCATATTTTTTTTCTATACTTAGTTCTAAAATATGTACCTGTTGTATTTGCTTGCAATGGATGAAACTGCATCGAATTTTTGCATGAAGAGTAGTACTTGGTCCCAAAATTGTTACAGGAAACAATTGCTTTGCATTCTTTAAACGACTGCCATATATTTTACCAATTTCAAAGTGACTGATTTTCACAATAAATACCAAATTACGATGTGGAATATGTATGTATGAAATAAATAATTTTCAATTTTATTTTCATACATTAGGCAAAATCTAAAACATAGGTTAGCTTCCCTTTGAAAAGCCTCCACAATATCAATCTCTTTCATCAGACAGCACTTGTAAGCTCTGTCCTGAATTAGTTTTCAATTAACTAACATCTAATAACCTTTTCCACTGAGGACTGAATTGCCACAGTTGCAAAACAATGAAAGTTTGCCTCAAGTTCTATACCTAGCAACTGAGTGGAACGTCTGAATGGGGATTTGTCAGTTTTGATATTTTTCACATAAATTCAGGTCAGTTTCACTTAAAAAATCCTCTAAAGTATCACTAAAATCAGGCAGACAGTTTTAATACACTCTGCAGTAACTTTACAATTATATCAAATTAATAAATGACGTTTTAATCAACTTCAAGTGCAGTTACTTTTAAATATTTTCATTTATACTTTACCAAAGAAGCATTAAGTGTTCCATATGATCCATTTTCAAGAACCTGACATTCATGCTCATGTTTGCCTACACACAAAAGTAAAAATGTAAACATTGTAGCAGGACGCAGATAAAATTTGAGATCAATTACACCTTGAGCCCATGCACTGGATCCTGCTAACCAGAATACAGAGAGGATAACAGTTATGACTAAATCCTGTTAAAAGACAAAAGGCAGATAAATACATGATTTCTCCTTTTTTGAAAGGCAAAAATCACACAAATGAAATTCATTACAATGAATTATTGGTTATTTTTAATAATTAAATGCATATGCATGGAAAAAACTCTATCCTTTTCTAAGTCAAGTACTTGCATTTATTAAGAAAGGTATACATTTTAAAAATTTTGTAGCAAACTTATTAAAAAATAAAAAAATCTGGAACTTACTTGAACATTTTCAATAATATACAAATTCATTTAAAAGCATTATTACAGATGGTATAAAACATAAAACTATTAAATATTTCCCTTTCTCACAGTAAAACTGTTTGCATCTAAATATGCAATTATAATACATATTAAAAATCAGAAATTAGTACTGAGAACTATATTAATATCAATAAAATAACATCATACATAAGAGTTAATAAGAAATCACAAAAAAATTTTTACAAGTAAAAAATGTTTAGAGTAATTTATAAAAACATATATTATTATTGAAAGATAATTCTGAATATGAATGAAATTATGCTACTGAAAGCTTGGAGAATCAGAAAATAATGATAAATTTAGTTCTCTCATATATAACAAAGAATATATGTGGAAAGTTATGATTTCAGTTCTGCTTTTAAATTCTTTTAGTCATGCTTACAAATATGAAATGGAAAAACCATAATAATACTAATAATTTGAAGGTTAAAATTAGATAAACAAATATCGGATAGTTTGCTGCATTCACCGAAAAGAAGGTTAAAAAAATACTAAGATGAAATAAAAAGATTATAATATTCACAGTAATACTGGTCATAAAGTTTGTAATAATTATAATGAACATATAGGAATATACTTATATGAATGTAATAATTCAGTAGATGACCTCTATTAATTGAATTAAATTTAGGATGCATGGGAGAGAAGACACCAATCATTTTTCAGTCACGATCGAAATGGTTATAAATGGGCTGGCATATAGATGGAATGCATTGTAGAAGATATATGCAGACATTAGCATAGAAAACAAGACACAATTTTATTTTTTGATGAATTATTCTGAGCACACATATTCTTGTTTACACAACACTGTGGGTACAATAAGCACCCTCAATTTTTTAGCATGGCATACTTTTTCAAATAAAAGATAAAGTGGAGTAGCAATGTTATTCATCTTAGAACCAGCAAAGGAAAGTAGGAAGGGGAAAAAAAAAGAGCTGTGCAATAACAGCAGTGGTATTTATAAACTTGATTTCTTTGATAAAATTCTGAATCTATGACTTGATATAAGCTGTTGCAATGAAGGATGATTACATGAGCAAGCATGAAATAGAAAGATGCAGTACAAAAAAATTATTAATAAACAATTTAAAACAGAAACAAGAGATAATCAAATTAAAATGGGATATAAATTACAGTATTGCCAAATTAAAGTTAATAGTTTTGAGTTAATATTTTATATACATGAATAGCATACGGGAAAATAAATCTATCCATCGCTGTAATTAATGTTGATTTTCTTTAAAACTTCTCTGATTTGACAAATAAGTCTTCCTGAATACTTTTTTCCTACTGGGTTTCTACAAAATTTTAATTTTGGGTATTTTTATGAAACTATACAATGCGACCCAAAACAAGGCAGTTTGAAAATATTTTTGATTTGATATATTTCTTAAAGTGGAATGATGGGTCAATTATTTAAGAAATAAATAATATATCACAAATTTAAGAAAAAATTAGCTTCAAGATCCTTTTCTATCAACTATGTTATGAATAGTTCAGTTGAGTTCAGGTTTTAGAGTCTAATGTACCGCTTGTTGATAACGTTATATCAGATTTGGTTACATTTTGGTTAATTTTACATATTTATTGGGAATTTGAAATTTAATGGTATTGAATTTCACTTCTTTTGGGTCTTTGTGGAATTGGATCTAAATTTCTTACCTTCTGTTTATACTGATTAGTTCTCAGCAGCATATGGAAATAACTGATATGGATAATTTTATTTTAAATAAAAAAATTGTTATATATATGTATATAATTAAAGGAATAAAGTATATACATTACAAATGGATTTATTACAAGATAGTCACATTGTATTGTTACAAACTATATATTCAGAATGTTATTCATGTACAATTTGTGCACGAAACAAAACTCTGCTTTAATTCAAAACCACATGCATTTACAACTAATTTCTAAACTTCACTCCATGTCAATACCAACACACATATTACAAACATAATGATGATTAAACTGAAGAGTAAAAAAAAAGGTGTAGCTTTTTCCACACCAGCAGGTACTTGACTGGCACCCAAGATTTCACCCCATAACATGTGCCAGCTCTTCCACAATAAAGCCACATCATATGTGATTGGCAGTGAACCTGTTAAAACTTGTTATGCATGTAATTTAATCACAATCATTATAAGTTTTAACTATAACCATGGCACTACAACTTCTATCTTCTTATGTTTATTCTGGAAGCATGTTGTTGGTGCTGTGTGTTCATTGTTTTATACTTGGTAAAATGTTACTAAATAAACCAATGCTTTTATCCTTAAACATCTAAATTATTACTTGTTTCAGTTATATGAGCTTAACCCGAAACAAAATAAATTTCTATTAAGCCTTTTTTTGAAAATAATTTTGTTCTTTTAAGATCATGAATGTTTTATTATTACTCAAATAACCTCTCATATTTTCAGTGCTATTATTTCTACATGTAATCATTTTAGATTTAAATTGATCTAAAATCAGAAATTCTGAAATGTGGAACTGCTGAAGTCCTGACATTACTAGATCTAGACTTTGCAAAGCTAATTATTAGCACTGAAATCAATTATAGAAGTTTTATAATTTTTGTAATTGATTATTGTATTTGATCAATGCAATTCTAATAATGCATTAAATGAACGATTAATCAATCACATGAAAAACAAGGGATATAAAATTCAGTTTCTATAAAATATTTACAACATAAAACTATTTAAGTGGAGAAAATTTAAAAAACAACTTACCATAACTGGAAGTTTGGTATTATTTGCATAATTCTGGTGAAAACATATATAAACAACCAAAATTGAAAGTGCGTACAAGAAAGAAAGAACTCCTGTTGCAACATAAAATTCAGCAGCATTAGAGAAATCAAAGGGAAGGGACAGCTTCACCTTTTCTTCAATATTTTCACAATCTACAGGGACTTCCAACACAGTTTTTCTAAAATTTCAATTAAAATATATTACATTTTGAAATATTAAATATATATAAAATAAAAGTTACAGTGAAACATCTCTTGAAGATCCCTTGCCAGTATGATTATCTAAAAAAATTACCAGTATTTCTGAGAACATAAAAATCTTTCATAGCCATGCTCTATGCAGTGGTCTCAAACTGGCGGCTTGCAGGCCACAAGTACCCCCTGAAGCAATTTTTGTGGGCTGTGAAAACATTTCCAATAAATTAATTACTATAATTACGAAATTAATTATTGACAGGAATTTGAAGAAGAATTTATGACTTTGGTGATGTGAAATCCGATTTTACATTATTTTCACTATCATTAAAAACAAATCCCTGTTATGCTTCAGAAAATTTAAAAATGGAGCTAATTAACTTGTACTGTAATATAAATCTTATTCAGAGATTTAAAAACATAGATTGAATTCCCTTTTTTTTATACTTTTTAAAAGCTAAATACCACCAGTTACAAATTTTTGCAATACAAATAATCACTTTGTTTGGGAGTACATTTGTAAGTAAATAGTTTTTATTGCAGTTGAAAATTAATAAGGGGGGGAGAGACGGTACCAGAATATCCAATGAATATAATTCTAGTAATTTTTATCCAAGATTACAAACTTTAAAATCAACTATCAAACTTAAAATATGATGAGGTGCTGTATCTGAAACTAAGTTATTCACTAAGTTATTATCTGAAAGTAAGTTAAAACTAGGTTATTTGTGTTTTAATCAATGCTTAAGAGTTGTTTGAAATAAATGCTAGTATAGAAATTTAATTTTAAGCCGTAACTAGGCTTGAATTAAAAAATGTAATCATCAGAAATTTCTTGTAGTTTTAGATTTCAGACAGAAAATACATAAAACTTGAAATTTTATCTTCAGTGTCATTACCATTGCTATTTACATACCATCTGACAAATATTTAGTAATAAAACTTAAAATTTAATTTGGTTAAAAAGATTTTGTTTAGGAAAAAAAAATTGCACACACAATTTGAGTTTGAGACCACTACTCTACAGAATGACCACTTTCACAGAAGATCAAACTTGTTTTGAATTGAAAGGGGTGATTTGAAGGAAGTTTCATTGAATTTCTTTCAAAAATAAACTATTTTACAGTTGTTTATATATATATATATATAAATATAAAATGTTTCAGATTTTAAATTACGTCCAAAGGGGCGTTTTTTTAACGTTTTGAGTGTTACCTTTATTTATTAAATATCATGTTCTTTGCACTTAAACCATAAAATTCAGTTCAAGAGCAATATCGCAAAATAATGTTAAATTAAGCATATCTTTAGAATTTCCGATATACACAGTCTCGCGAGCTGGAGATAAAAGTATTTTTTTTCTATATAACATTGCCATTTCTCGCTTTTAAGGCATTGAGTTTGTAAATCAAAAATTCGTTAAAGTTTTACAAAATATAAAATCTATAATAAAACAAATTCCAAATTTGGGATTTCAGATGCCCATATTCACAGTAGGATTTCGTCATTCAAAATTCGATGGCTCTATGTACCATTGTTTTATCACAATGCGAGAAATAGACAATCATTTATGCAGATTTCTTCAAATATAATGCAGGACTCTAACATTTTGTGGCAACAGTTTGAAAAGTGAACCGACGTTTATGAGTCCGACGCAAAATCGCAAAACGAAAACAATAGTCCTTCAGGGACAAAGCCTCTTTGGACTAAAAAAAAAAAAAAAAAAAAAAAAAAAAAAAAAAAAAAAAGCTACTGTATAAATGTTATAGAACTATAAATAATTATTAACTATCATGGGCGCGATGGAATATGCAAGTCCCAGCCATTGCTTCTCTTATTTCAATAGGACAAATAAGCCTCATTTTATATTATTATTTTATAAAGTGGTGTTTTATATTTTCACAGTTACATATGCACAATTCTATATTTATTGCATTTTAGTAGGAATTGAAGACTATTTCTGGAATTTTCAAAGATAAATGTTTTCATTTATCATTGTGATAAATTGATGTATTGAATTAAAGATAAAATTGCTTTTGTGACAAGTAAAAATACTAATAGTTATCTATTTATACTTATGCAAAAGATGTGTTTCAGTGCGTTTTAAAATGGGTTATATATATATCACGAACAAAAGGAAACTGACCTAGACTGAAACTGAATTCTTAGTTCTAATTTAAATGAAGCAGAATTGTTTGCAGATGAATCAATCGATTTATTTGGGGATTCAAAGCATAAAGGATGGATAAACTTTAAGCATTAAACTCAAAAGTAAGTTTCTTACATTATCTGTATCAATAAAGAAGAGTGTCCATGCATTTGATTTTTACATATATCTACTGTTCAATTCAATCTTTATGAAATTTGATTTATCTTTAAAACAAAAGGAAGGTCACTGTTTACATAAGGTTTCTCAAAAACCATCTCTTAGCCTGCACTCTTCATATACATATATTTTATGCTAATTTAATGACTTTATGATTAAAAATTTGGAGATTTCAACATAGAGATGTGTTGCCTTTCTGAAAAACATAAGATTGTTACGTTTGAAGTATAATCAGAAAACTCATCTATATAAAAGAAGAGTGTTGCCACTTGAAAATGCAATATATTTATTCATCTTTAGAATTAAAAACCTTTGGAATTTAAGAGAAATTCACTGCCATTAACAAATTATAATATTTTTAAGTGTATTATTATTCCGCAAAGTATAAGAATTTTTCTTTCAAATTTATTCTGCTATTAATTTACAAACTAAGTTACTTAAATGTAACCACACGCAAATTCATTACAGTTATTATTATTTATCCCCTGGGAATGTGAAATTAAATTATTTATCTATATACATTGACTTCATGTATTATAAGCTTTTTCATTATTATTATTAAAATGGTTTATAATTTTGGTTAATCTTCCATAATTGGGGTAAGCGCCAAACTTGGCGAGAGTTTTTAATTTGGCATGATTTTGATTTGGTTGTGGTTTCCGGCTGTATGTTTTCCTATGGCAAACCTAGAGCTTTACTTTGGTGCTTGTAATGAGTGTGAGCAGAAAATTTTTTTTAAAAAATTTAATTTTGAAATATTGTGTTTGTTTTTAAAGTTTTAATGTTTAATATTTTCAGGAGGTTAAGCTGCTGTTGGTGGGAGAATGTTGGATTTCAGATGACGTGAAGTTTATAATTTATGAATACTTTAATTTAATTTTATCTAGTTAATGTTTTCCGGGTCAGTTAATTATTATTTTTTTTAGTTTTGTTTCTTGCATGCGGCAATCAAAAGATATGGAATAATTAATGCTTTGAACTTTGTGTTTTTAACTGCAAAGCTGATTGACTTTGTTTTACTCATCTAGTATTTTACCACCCCATTTTACTATTCTGTTTATATAAAATAACCATGTTTCACTACTACAAAACTTAAAAGTTACAATTATGTTTATGTTTAAAAATCACATCTTAGTGCTCTCATTACCGCTACCAAAATTCACCAAATTTTGAAGGCCAAAATAGCCTGGCGCCAACTTACCCCGCTTATGGAAGATTAGCCATCATTTTTTTCTCACTTTCACTGTTCGATGTTTTAGTATTTAACTGATATATCGATGAATTATTTAGCATTTCTTAATTCATTTATCTTTGTATTTAATACTTTTAAAACACCTATATTATATTTTTACACTATTTTCTTCTTTCACATTCGTATGGAGTTCGTGTGGATTTGGAGTGAATAACGACAACACTTGATGAAGTATCGAAACACACTTTATTTAGCCAATACTGATCAGGACAGCTTCAAAGTCACGTTTTACAGTCGTCAAAGATCTACTATACACACGCTGACACGATCAGTGACACAGCCTTCAGGTTATCAGGCTACCACGGTGGAGACAGCTTCACTGCAAAGCACCAAAGTACAGCTCCCAACTCTGCTAGGTCGTTTCTGGAACTCCACGTACTGTCGAGACTCTCCACGCTGCTGCAACTCGCGATACACTCGACACGCAGAGCACAGCTCCCGACTCTTCGGTTCAGTCGTTCCCGGAGCTCAACACGCTCCCTCGACGATGCACTAACCGCGCACTAAGAGACTCCTTCAGTGCAATCGACGACCCACTCGGCACTCGCTGCCCGGCTGTCAACTCAATTGTCTCCGCATGGACTAATTAGATGAGACACTCGCACTCTAGACGAGACACACTCGCCCTCTCGACGAGGTAAACTAACTGACTGCGGACCAGCAAGGTTTATATAGCTTTCGGCTTGTGTTCGAGAACATTCTGGGCTAAACCGGTAAGAATTCCTTCCAGAAGGTTCTCTATCTGTCTAATCGCCAACGTTTTCGCCAAATGGGTGATGCCAAATGTGACTACCTTGCCTTCTTTTGCCATTTATGGCAACCCTAAAACTGCTTTGCGAGGAAGCTATCTTACCGCGCCTGGACATTTTGTAACTATATGACATAAACTAAAACTTTTAAAGATGTTTCTGCAATTTGCACTAACGCACAATATACATTTAAGTTACATTTGCTTTTAATATATATTAAAATCGTATAATTCTGATTTTAAATACATTTTGGTATTATCTTAATTCAATCTGGAGGCAAATAAAGCCACATTATTTTAAATTATAAGCAGCAATACTATTATAAGCACTATTACAGTCAAAAGTCGTTAATCCGGACCTCAAAGCTACAAACTTTCTGCGCATGCGTCGCGTTGACGCATTTACGCAGCCACATAAGGCGTTTACGCAGCCGCATAAGACCTTTACGGCTGCGCATATGCGTGTGTGCATGTGCATAATACATTTACGCATGCGACTTTAATGTATAACGGACGGTACAAGCTAAAAATTACCTATTTCAGTTAATGTTGCAGATTACGTTGTTCCTTAATCTTTGAATTGGATCCGGCTCATTATTTTTTTGCAGACTGTTAGAGCAACGAAGTTTTTGTTTGAAACGAAGCATCACAAACACTA